CGAAATTTTTAATATATCAACATGAAAATAATTAATGAGAAGATAACTAACAATTACGCAATGGCGAAGTTCTCTTCCAACAATTTGTTTGCACTTTAATATCTCTAAATTTTATTTCAGCAATTGAAACTTCATGGATTACGTTAGATTTACGTAAACTCACTTTTTCACTTCCATAACTAATTTAAAATTTTAAGTATAGAAAAAGAGAGTTTTGACGAAGTCATGAACTTTCAAGAATTGAAACGAAATTTTTAATATATCAACATGAAAATAATTAATGAGAAGATAACTGACAATTACGCAATGGCGAAGTTCTCTTCCAACAATTTGTTTTCATTTTAATATCTCTAAAATTTTTTCAGCAATTGAAACTTCATGGATTACGTTAGATTTGCCTAAACTCACCTTTTCTATAATTAAAATTTTAAATTAATTATGGAAGTGTAAGAAAATTTGCCACGAAAAGATTCTCCCTAAGTATGGTGCCCTCTTAATATGTGAAAGATACTTACATCCAAATTGTTTCCGACTTCGGATTCCACCCTGCCATCAAGACTTGATCGAGGCAAGAAAAGAGTACATTCAATAACTGGAACTAGATCAATATCAATTATTGTGCCATCTCTTTTGTACAATATAATAGTCCTGGCGGGTCCTGCTTGTCTTGTACGCACCTTTTGAAACAATTGTAAGACATTTGAATTAATTTGCATTTCAAGAAGTTAATCATTATTAATTGCTAGGGGGCTAAACTCCCTTTTCACTAACGCTCACCAATCCCGATGATTGCAATAATTGTTGTTTCTTGGCATAAAACAGTTGAAATTATTCAACTCATTCAACTTATATGTACTAAAAAAAGAACACTTGTGCCGCCACTTCCCAAGTCCAAATCTTTCCCTTATGATACTGTTAAGATCTATTAGTGGACATAAATAGTTTTTCTAAGTATAATCAATTTTTGAAATAACATTTAAAATTGAAAGTATATTGTTATAACAAATTTAGTGTGTTTACAACTGTAATTTAATATTTTTGCTTACCAAGCGGACGGATGTATTTTAAATACAATTTTTGCATTCATCACTTTGTGCGTGGAGCTGAAAGTAAAGTTCTAATTCATTAACGAATCTCTTTAACTGTAATTCATGATAGTACATTAAAGTAATTTGCAGTGGGCCGGGACAGCCTGGTCGGTAGGGTGCTGGGCCCATGTCCGAGAGTTCGTGAGTTCGAACCCCGCGGCCGAAAACTCCTCGTGTAGTTGGTGACTGATGCACGTTAAAATTCTATCGAGTCGCAAAGTCCTCCATGTTCCCATAACAAATCAAAACCTCTGGGGGTACTGGATNTTTAAACTTGCCTGTGTACACGATCTTGGTGGAATGTATGTTCTCAGTGCTTTGTCAACAACACTTTGAAGCCACTGTCGTACTTTTTGGGGAATTAAATATCCATCATCAAAGAAAGTTTTGGCAAGTTTAGGATATCTCTCGAAGGCAATCGAATTGTGTTTCAGGTAGTATTTAACATAGCTTGGTGCTTATGGCTGATGTACAATCTGAAAGATAATGAATCTGTTTCAGTAGAATGGAATAAGATATACAGGGTTACTATAATTTCACAAATATAGAAATTCAGGAAATATAGAATACCATCAAAAGATGACGCAATAAGTCTGGTTAAAAATGCTTCGAACAGAGAAATTTCATCGTTATAATTATTACTTAAAAGTTCTTGTAAAAATATTTTTTTAAAAACGATGTTGAAAATAGCATTTTCTTTTTCATTTTGTTGTTGTTGTTGCTTATCCTCTCTGTCTAACGGAGTCAGACAAGATCCACGAGTTCGTTGGCTGAAAGGAAGTCGAAGATTAAGAGAGGATTGCTAAAGAGATCCTCCTTAGTGAGTCCCATGCAATCCAAGAGGTGCTCAGGAGAAGCCTGATGAAACTAATGGAACTGGACGGAATGGGTGAAGTACGCCGGGAGTCCCTGGATTAGTCCCTGGTCGGAAGTTTACTCCTGGTAAGGCTACCCAAGGCGTGAAGGCCATTCCATTATGCCCAGCTAAAAATCAGTAGGCGAAGGAGCCAAGACAGATTTCTACCTACTGGTGCTCCAGTCCTTGGACTAACTGAAGCTGCACATTCCCTCACCAATGACTTCTTTTTCATTTTAAAAGTTTTAAACCACTAAAAATATGATAAATATAGAATAATCAAAAATCATAATAATAAATAAGCAGAAAGTGGAGTTGTAATGAAGCTTTTCCTAAATAGTAAAATTAACACTTAAATTAAAGACAACAAAAGTGACGTACCCTCCAGTATAATTACCATGAACTGAGAGAAAGCGTGCATGTGCTACCAGAAACTTTATTAAAATTATGTAGAATTCAGAAATGTACATAAAAATAGGCCCCATCCCTCCGCGTATGCCCCATCTTTGATTCACTCAAAAAAAATTTGAAATATAATATGGAACAAAAACATAATAGTAAAGAGATATTCTGGTATTCATTTTAATTTTAGACAACGGAGGTACGGTCGCTCAGGGGACAGAGCATTCGCCTCTCAATCAGGTTATCCAGGATTGAATCATGGATTAGAAACTCCTTGCCATCATGCTAATCGTGAGTCGTGGTTTTCCTCTCCATGTAGCGCAAATGCGGGCTAGTCCTCCACGAAAGCTAGTTTCTTTCAATGCTTGATTCAGGAGTTTCCTTGTCTTCTGGGTTGGATTCAAAATTACAACGCTATGGAATTGAAAATTAGTAGTCGTAAACTCAGAAATGGGCAGGCTGTTCAACGCCAATTAAAGTCCATAAAAAAGAGAAATTCCGGAAACTTGTGAAGTTCCTGCATAAAAATAATGCTAATGAATAATTTGATGTAATATTCCCATATTGAAAAAAATGCGGCTATTGACAGAGATCCTCCAATTGATAAGGAAGTTAAAACTACATAAACTTAGGAGTTAAAAGTTTTTTCCCATGTTAAGCAAACGCTTAGTGTAAATACAGACCATAAAGTGAACGTTTCAGTTTTTCGCTAAGAATTAAAATTTACAGTTAGACTAAAGAGATGTGCAAGCTGACTCTACCAACGCCATTAACTTCAATCCTATTAATTAACTGGCTGTCAATAGCAGCGTCACGTTTTTGGTGAGACGTTGTAAGTAGACGAAGAAGAAAAAAACGTTCTGTTGACGTTTGCATCTAAAAAAACACAGAATATTGATGTAAGTAAACAATTTAGTCCCGTTGTTTGAACAGCATCGATTATGGGGAATTTTCGAATGGAGAAATTAAGCGACCGAACCAAATAGTAGATACAATTGTTGATAGGTTTGAGCATAACGATATTATGCATGCGTATTTTATTTAAAACTTACTTCAAATTGTGAATCCTTGACAGGCAGCCTGAAAACCATATTGATATCGAATTCATCAGGCGTGGAAACTCGAAGATCCGAGTAAAAGCTGCCAAAGTAACGAAACTCGCTGAATAAAAGGTCAAACAACTCATCAACTTCCTTTAACTTATATATGAAAGTTCTCAAGAACTCATGGAGAATTGCATTGTTTTCTCTGATGAGATCCTCGTCTAGCTTGATGTTTTTTAAAATTTCTTTCAAAATAGAAACGCCAGGGTTTCTGAACCTTTGAGCTTCAATAACCCAGTCATTTTGCTGTTGAGGAGGGCTGAATTCTTCCTGAAATTTAAAATAAAAATATTATATTCTTTAGGAAAAGAATTGTCGTCTCAAGGATTTCTTCACTCCTCTCTTCGTTACCATGGTATAAGATGATCTTGTTTTTTTCCCACGACAATCTTTCTTCATACTAAAACGTACTGCCAAGAAAAGAAAAGTACAATTTTCCGTAACCATGGTAACAGAGGAGGAAAGGCGTGAAGAACTTAATATATTAAAATTTTATTACATTACATTTTCTGAAACCTCTGTATGTAATACTATAACTTTGAAACAATGTGTTAAAAAAATGCTTGATAAGATATTGATATTAATAAGCTAAACAGGTTAGAATGCATGATTAAGTCGGTAAAGAAATTAAATCACTTTTCTTATGAACTCTTTCGATCAGAGTGTTACAAAAGTAATGATCAACATTATAATTGAAAGGTATAATTTAACCTACCAATTCAAACAACTTTTACTATGGTTAGAGAGCAAAGATAAAATTGTCAAGAAAACGTCTGCTGAGGGAAAAGAAAGATTATATTACAGTAGAATAAAAAAGTATAAATAATATTTATTAATTAAACTTAACAACAAATGTGGGATATGGATAATATGGAGTGGATATGTGATGCCTATCTTGGCATCACAGTGTCTTTAGAATACAGTTTGGGCAGCTTAAACGAGCCAAATTTAGAATGTCCGTGCTAAATGCCGGAGTGAAGAAAACTTAGTATTTTGAAAAATGCAAAATAGGAACGAAATTGGTTGAATTTTTTTATAAGCAATAAAACTTCAAAAAGGTCATATTTTAAAATTTTTATTTCCTACTAGCTCCTCGACTAACTCTGTTTGAATTTTGTTAAATAAAATTATATGCTATAAGAAAATTCATACGTAATAATTTAAAAAATTAATGGTTATAAAAATGTACATTATTAATGGTTATAAAAATGTATTTTTTTTATGCAATTATCATTGGATAAATGAATTTTATAACTTTATAACCGTGTGCTAATATTTTTAAAATTGCTTAAATATTTCCAGAGGTATGGCATTATACGCGGATAGTGAAGTTTGTTTTAGGTGGCTCAAAGTTTTGATTGCTGATGGGACTCTATTCTTTTAATTGCGGCTATTTCCCCCTGCAATCTTTTAAAAGTTTGAAATTCAATTTTGTCGGGAAAAAAAGTATGTTTATCCTTCAAAAATATTACATTTTTGTGTTTGATTTCGTAACTTTAAAATTTTTCATATTAATAATTGGTATAGTTAAGATGCGCCCTGCAAAGAATCGAGATAGCATGCTAGTAAGTAAAAATCCGATCATTAGATTAAATGTTATTCAAAGAATCGGCTTATTTTGCGACTCTTTTGATTGACTCCTTTCATAAGAAACATTCCAATTCATTAACTAGCAAAAAAAAAAAATTGAAATAATTTCTTACTTCATTTTTTTCTTCACTCCAAAACGACCCCATTACAAATATTGTTGTATTTCAGCCGAATCTCTGCAAGTCAAAGTTTGGATTGTTTTAGAAATTCATAATTAATAAATAAGAATAAGAAGAATGAAAAAATAGAATTTATGATAATGGTCGCCAAGCATTGCCACGTCGGCAAAAATGTTGCCAAATCGAGTCTTTCATAAGAAATACATAAGGCGTTATTTTCTCTCTTGAATTACGCGACTTTCTTGTAAATTTTCTAATTAAATTTTTTATTTAGAGTCCGTTTTTGACATATAGTCTCATAACAAAAGAATATTCCTAAAATTATACTCATGTCTGTAAATTTGTAACATTACCAAGATGATGTGTTTTGTTTCAAATATGCTTACTTGACCTTTTTTGGAAATTATTTTAAAATACCAACTTTTTAAACAAATTAAATTTTTTATCTAAATTAACACTGAATTGAAGTAAAAAACATTCAGATCACCCTATTGCTTGACTAACGGCTACTTCCTTCATGTTTTGACGAGCCTTTATTCGCTAATGAGTTATGCTCCAATTTGACTATCCTTAATTCCAATTTAAGGCTGTCTTTGGAAGGTTCTGTAGTCGTACGAAGTGATGCTTTATTGCGAATAATATACAATTTTCATAATTGATGTGAGTTTGCAGCAGATACTCATGGCGGTTAGATCAAGTTTAGCCTATCTTTAGCCATCGTCCTAAATGTTTATTTTGAAAATGGCGCAAAACGTTAATATGGAGAAAGGCCACAGTTTTGAGAAAATGAAGACGTTTGTGGTCCAAATTTTTAATATTTGAAAACTTACTCCAATGCTGCCTTATCTGGGCTCATAAAAATTTTTTGAATATGGGAATGAAGCATTGATTTTGATAATTTTCATCTAAGGGGAAAAGTTTTATCAAATTTTAAAATTTTTTAAAATATTTTAGTTAATTGTCCGTTCTAAAGCCCAGATAATTCTTTACAGAACTGTACAGTTTAAAATTATAGCTTTTCTTCAAGTGTATGGCACATAAACTGTAGCTTTCTTATTTTTTCTGGTGAAAGAGCTTCGAAAAACCTCGTTAACAACACCCCTCCCTGCCTATTTCGAGGTAAATATAGATCCGAAAATCTGACCTGAAAATATGCTTTCGATTTATAATGCGATTAATGAAAATTTCTCGATAACAACGAATTATATCGTTACAGATTATATCAGGTTCGTACGGCGCAGAAATCTTTTTAAAGTGGTAGCTAAAGTGAGAAAAATCCACATGTTTTAAGCTTCCAATAATTTTTTAGTTTAAAGGAAATATATATAGGGGCAAAAAATATAGTTGAAATAATTTCGCAATTCTCAAATAAAAGCTAAATTTAAGTATTTTTCAATAAGCTTGAAAAATCTTAACTACAACTCGTTTATTTTTTTTCAGGTCGTGGGAACCCTGTTATAAGTTGAAAAATTCTGTAGCATTACATACTGCAAAAGTTGTCTTGTCCTTATTGCATTGCTGCCAGCCAAGAAATCTTAGCTCAGCAGAATGTTTAAATTGGCAGTGAAATGTGATGTTAACTAAACATTTTTAAAATTTCGTTAGTAATTAAAAACACCAAATACTTACCAATTCTTTTATATAGATCATTGAACTGTTTAAATGTTGTGATTGACAATATAGGTTTAACTTAAATGTTAAATCACAATATTTGTTACCAATTTAAACATTTGAGAAAAAAATTCTGATTAAATCTCAAAAGTTGGTTTTTATTTAAAATATAGTTACTTTTATAAATAAAAATATCAGAGTATAATATTTCAGAGTATAATATATATATTTTCCATTTTAATAATGTTATATTTGTTCTACCACTCATTTTGAGAAAAACAATTCTTTGCGTTTTCATCATCCTTGATTGCATTTTACTCCACACAATAAGATCGTCTGTAAATTATAATAATGATAATCTTTTTTAGTATTAGTATCTTTTTCAGCTAGAGAATTCATACATAAATGTATTTCAGGATTTTCACAAACTGTAGAGCATTTCATTCCTGATTTTCGGCAACTGCTGGCGACATTACTAACTTTTTTGCATTTCTGGAGTTCTTTGTAGAACTGGTGAAAATTTTTAATATTTGGTATTTAGCTTGCCCCAATTTATTTAAAAGTTACTAGAGTTAGAATGCTACTTTCTTCCTGAATTTTTTTCCACAGTTTCCCTGCTTAGAATATCGACTGTTTGTCCACTATAGATCATGTTTTATTTTTTTCCCTCGAGATCTTTACTTTATAAGCTCGCACTTAAGCGGAGGTCAAGTTTAAGAAAAAATTGAGTGAGAAAGGAGAGACCTCTCACTCCATATTTATTGAAATTTTTTTAAAAGAAAACTTAATACAAAAAAGATAAAATTCCTTCCCTATTTGAATTGTCTAAAGGAGTTAAATTACTTCTTATATATTTCCTTCTATTGAGTCACACAGCATGAAATTTTTTTCTTCTCTAGAACAGAGAATTATATTTTAAATCCAGGTAATCGTTCACTGTGTTACGAGAAACGTAATTACAAAATGTTCTTACTATACTGAGTACAGACAGGGGTTCGTTTCAATTGGAAAAGAATAAAACAGCCCTTAAGACTCCAAAAATTTATTAGCAGAATCTTCCAGGGTACACAGCTCTGCGAGACACACTCCTAGGTTTGGCGACGAAACCCTGGAATATATGGCACGATTCTAGACGATTCTCGCATTGGTCCTATTGCTTTGAAAGTTTCCAAAGCTATATTTTATTGGAAAAATGACAATGAGTTCAGATATGTGAAACTCCAATCTTTAAATCAAAAGTTATTAAGGTTTCGATTTTTTTTTTGTGCACGGTGCAATTATAAGGAAATGGGTTTTGTTTACTATTCACTTTTATACTCTATAGCAGGAGAGTCAAACTCGCTGCCCGAGATGAACATTTTTGCGGTATAGTCAATATATCCGACGCAAAGTAAAAATAAAATAGAAATGTTAATTAGAAAGCAAACTAGCATGTAAAATTATAATATACTTTATTTATAAACTATACGACATTTTAATTGTACGTGCGAAAATGTAAAATTCTCATTGGCTTGCGGCACCTGCCATTCCAGGGATACTGCATCGTATCAAAAATACGCAGAAAAAATTTCAAATCTTAGAAAAGAATTTGAAACAAGGTTAAAGATTTTAATTCCTTGGAAGACAAATTTTGTTTGTTTTCTTCGATTTTCTCAATAAATATAGACTCAGTACCCAGTAATATGCAAATGGAAGTGATTGAGATTCAGTGCGACTCAAATTTGACAAAATTTCTCCCGAAATAGGAAAGATAGTAGCAGAGAAGAGATGTCAAATATCAAACAATAATTTTACTTTATATATGTTTATTACAATATACTATTCAAAATAAAAATATTTGTTTCTATGAACACTGATTTTTTTTTGCGGCCCACCTAAAGTTAAGCTTTATTTATTTGGCCCAAGTTAGCTTTTGAGTTTGACACCCCTGCTCTATAACAAAGAAGAAATACATTTTAACAAATATATTTTGTATGAAATTTTGAAATCAAGCAGAGGAAATAGTTAGATTCCCTTAGATTATTTTTTGTTTTATCAACATGCTCTTTCCTTCACAATAGCTCATAGATTTTTCAGTAGTTTCAATAATTTTATCTTTTTCTCTTCAATAAGTTAATCAAACTTACGCACAAACGTTAATGCGTAAAATAATTTTGTGGAAAATTATAATTTAATTAATTATAGTAATATTCAATAACAAATGATTTTTAAGAATTTTTCATAAGCTTAAACATTTCTTTTCTTGTTTTAACCTATAGATATAACGTTCAACCAATTATGGTCGGACAAATCTTGCAGATTCCAATAAAATTATCTTCGTTCCCGATTTCACTATCAACTCAGCGTTATCATTAAGTTCGGATAATAAACACTAAAATTTAAACAAAAAAATTTTAAAAAAATTAAAAATATAAAAATGTAATGTTTTTTTTTAAAAAAAACATTTGGGATATTCAGTGCATACTTTTACCAACTTCTGAATGTTTAGTTTAAAGGAAACGATATATTTTTATTTCAGAAACATAAAATAGGATTATGCAAATGCGTAAAACAATAATCGAAAACGTAGATACTTATTTAAACAAATAATCCCAAGAAACAGAAGTGGTAAGATATTACTCGATGAAAAAATTTACTTGATTAAAAAATATACTGATTGGATATAACAGTTGGCATGTTTCAAGACCTAAAAAATAGTCTCCCATTTTCACGACTTGTCAGGCACGAACGAAAAGAAACAAAATTGATTTGAAATATAAAAAGCAAAATTGACAATAGAAAATAAAGGTGAGAAACAAATCGGAGGTTTTTCTAGTTTTGTTTCGTACCTTTATATTCATTTTTCGTGCCGACCGGCCTGTGTAGGGGTTAGGGAACTGCCTTTGCATCAGAGAGGTTCTGGGTTCGAATCCCGGGCAAGGCATGTGTGTTCTTTCCTTCTCTGTACTATCTGTCCTTACTGTGGAAACAACGTTGGCCCACCTAATATGGTGCCCCTGAAAGAGTGGCCAACAAATCTGCCCTTCAGACGTCTGTATGACGCAGGTCACTCCCCAGGTGAGAAATTTTTTTTTCATTTTTCGTTGCTAATTTAACGTTCTATATTTCAAATCACTTTTGTTTCTTTGCATTCACGTCTGAGAAACCATGAAAATAGGTGCCTATTTTTGAGCGTTTGAAGCACGTCGACTATATAAGTGCCTTTTGTTAAAACTCCGGAAACGGAAAGTAGCAGAATTTCCGGAATCAATCTGATACACTATCTTCATAACTCCAAATTTATCTGATTACCCCAACTTTTTAAAGATTATTTCAAAATGAATTTAAAGCATATATAAAGAGATGCCGACTTGCTCCGGAAAGCGGAGAAATATTTTCGAGTCGATTCTTGGTTTAGCCAATTCGATTTAAAGGGTTTTTACTCACCAACTAATCCTACATTATAC